TAATGGCAAAAAGCAATAGTAGCAGAGACTGGACTCAGATCTATGCTATTTACGGCATGGACCAGTGGCAAACACTCGTTTTTTTCTATTCCACGCTGTTTTTTTCTCACTACTGTCCCATCTTCCTTCTCTACTTCGAATCCATCTTCCACTTTTCCAAACTTTCCTCTCGAATCCCGGCGCAGCCCGTTTCGCCACCGGGTTCAGCGGCGTAGTCACAGCGATTTCGGCCGTATGCTTGTTTTTCACGGCGTCTAACTTCTTTTACTCCGCCGGGCCGTTGCATTCGATATGGCGCAGCGGATGGTGGGATCGGTTAACGACTGGTCGACGGTGAAGCTGGCGCTTGATATTGGATGCGGCAGAGGTATCTTCTCAATGCGGTGGCGACAAACTGAAGAAAACCGGTAGTTCGGGTCGGGTTGTCGGGTTGGATCCTTCTAAACGAACCACTTTGTCTACGCTCCGAACCGCCAACGTGGAAGGTTTGACTGTTCGTTTCCTCATTAAATTTTTTGTTTAATAATAAAAATATGACAAAATTTGATTTTTCTTCCATTTTTTTCTGAAAATGGTGATTTGAAAATCGGAACAGGTGTGGGGGAGTACGTGACGTGCAGAGAGGGCGACGTGAGGAGCCTACCGTTCGGGGACAACTACTTCGACGTGGTGGTTTCCGCCGTTTTCGTGCACACGGTGGAAAGAAAGGAGGACGGTGGAGGCGGGGGCGGGAGGGGAGGGGTTGGGGGAGATGGTGAGGGTGTTGAAGTCCGGTGGGGTGGGGGTTCTGTGGGACCTCCTCCACGTGCCGGAATACGTGCGGCGGTTACAAGAGCTGAATATGGAAGATATTAGGGTTTCCGAGGGTGTAACTGCCTTCATGGTCAGCAGCCATGGTGTCGTTTCGGAAGCCAAGTCAGCACGTCGTGGGTCCCGTGGAGGTCCGCTTGGACTGGAGATGCTGACGTGGAAATTACCGATGAAATTTACTGATAGAGTAAAAAAAGGGGTTAGAAAGTGCAAACACAAAAAAAATGAGAGTAACTTCGATTATGAGGAGACGAAGCCAAACCATATGATTTTGTTGAAAGTATACTTAGCTATAATATATATTATGTGATATATACTAATGTATTTCGAAGCAATACTAATGTAAACAAAGAATAGGTTTCGAAAACATTTATTTTCTTTAATAGTATAAGATTATTATATATAATATGGCAAAACTTTCGAGATAATGTTCTGGAAAAAAATTAATTCACGAGATAAAGCACTCCCAAGATTAATTGCTCAATAAGGTGAAATCCACTGTGTTTGGCCGTAGGTTGCCCCTTCCGACCTACTAGGTCGCCATGTCTTCCCGGCGAGTTACAAGAGATTGCATGTGCCATGCACGTCCCAACGAGGCCATCTGACCGAGGCCATCCGAGAGCATTCGAGGCCATCCGAACGAGCTATGCAAGGGCATCCGAGGGCAACCGAGCGAGGGAATCCGAGGGAAGCCGAGCGAGGGTAGGTCGCCCCATGCGACCTACAAGGTCGCCAGGAGGGCATGACGACCTACAAGGTCGCCAGGAGGGCATGGCGACCTACAAGGTCGCCCGGAGGGCATGACGACCTATGTGTTGGGACGTGCATGTGCCATGCAACACGTTTATTCTCTCAGTTTGAGTAAGGGTAGGTCGCCCGGAGTGTATGGCGACCTACAACCAACACTTTGGATTTCACCCTATTTGAGCAATTAATCTTGGGAGTGCATTAACTCGTGAATTAATTTCTTTCAGAACATTATCTCGAAATTTTTGCCTATTATATATATGTTAAAAATATTATTAATATAATATTGAAATATCTTTACATCTATTCTAGTATTTAATATGACTAGACTTATGTATAATTAAAATTTATATAATTATTTAGTATTGATATTAAAAGAAGATGATATGAATTAAATTATTTCAATAATTAAAAAAATTATTATTATTCTTAAATGTTTAAACAATCAATCAAATGGTTAAAAAATATTTAAATTATATTATTTTATAATCATCTGATAAAAAAATATATATATACCTAATGAAACATAGAGATGCTTGTGGGTGTGATGGGACTTGGTGGAGGTTGTGCGTTAGATGTGGTTAACGGTGTAGGGTTAGGGGGTTATCTATCTTTGTCAATCGGTACATTCTCAATTTAGTGGGATTTAGTCATAGATACATGAATCTTTCTCACATCTTTTCAATCTAATTTAATCAAAGTTTCAAATCTAATATTATATAATCGAACTAAAAGTTTAAAAATAAATATTTCGACACTGTTTTCGTCCATATAAATTTGATATTTTAGTTAAGGGATATTAAATTTATCCCTTAGTCAGAAGAATCAATAATTTATGATTGCATCCAAAAAAGAGAGAGCACAGTGATTGCAGCATGGCAAAAGATTGTTGTTCAAGTTTTAACCCTCAATATCAAGTCTAAGCCCATGCTTTTAATGCATCTTCCTTGTTCTCTGAACACTTAACTGCTCCATATGTATGTGCGTTACGTGTCTTTCTACTCTCGATTACTATTAATGATAATGATTTTCATATATACGTTGTTTGGAACATTCGAACCAATTTTCTTTATTTTATTTGAATTATATAATTATAATTGAATTGTCTAAATTAATTTTAGTCAAATTTAAATAAAATAAAAGAATAAATTGAAGGGATTATGTATGTGAACTTTATCCAAACTAAATATAACAAAGAGAAAATAACTTCAGTGACTAAAATGTCTTATAATATACGATTTTAACCAACTTTTTTTGGATTTGCCAAAATGACCAACTAAATCGCAATGCGATCGATAATTCACAACGCGATCTCCGGTATCGCAAATCAGTTTCCAGATCGCAACGCGAACTTCGACTATCGCAACGAACTTGAAATAATCGCAACGCGAACTTCGACTATCGCAACGAACTTGGAATAAATCGCAACTCGAACTTGGACTATCGCAACGAATTTGGAATAAATCGCAACGCGAACTTCGACTATCGCAACGAACTTGGAATAAATCGCAACGCGAACTTCGACTATCGCAACGAACTTAGAATAAATCGCAACGCGAACTTCGACTATCGTAACGCGAACTTGGACTATCGCAACGCGAATTTGGAATAAATCGCAACGCGAACTTGGACTATCGCAACGAATTTGGAAAATCGCATTGCGATAGTCGAAGTTCGCGTTGCGAATCTGGAAACTGATTTGCGATACCGGAGATCGCGTTGCGAATTATCGATCGCGTTGCGATTTAGTTGGTCATTTTGGCAAATCCAAAAAAAGTTGGTTAAAATCGTATATTATAAGGCATTTTTGATCACTGAGGTTATTTTCTCTATAACAAATACTAACATAAAGTCGTATTAGAATAATAAAAGATAATTGTGAGGTAACCTCTTAATATCAATTTGTGTGACCTAGCTAGGTCAAAATACAGAGGATTGAAGAAGGTGTTGGTATGGTATCTATTAATAAATTTATTTGTTTTTAAAATTTTATAAGTTCATTCTTTTAACGTAATATTATACGATCGTCCTTCATAAAATATAATAAACTAATGTCTTATTATAAAGAAAATGACTTCCACACTTAAATATCTCCTAAATATTCGATTTCGTAAATTTAAATATATTGAAACACAATTATCACCAATTCAAGAATTAAAAAGAATATTTTAGTTTATTAAATTATAGAATAAATAAAATGGTTAAAAATAGTATGGACCCATATATTTCAACTCTTATCAACCAATTACTGAACATTCATACCTATTAGTGCCAAATGATAATTATGAGTCTCTAATTATTAGTAAGTAATACAATTTAATTTTAGGTTTTTTTTTCCAAATCTATTTTCTCTCCAAATTCAAGTTTATATATATATATATATATATATATATATATATATATACACTATTTTAAGGGGTAGTTATGCTGTATGACAACTTTAATATACGGCTAAGGAAAGATCATACCGGAAATGTTAATATTTTTTAACATTTATGGTAAAGCGCTACCTAAAATATTATTTTTTTTACCAGAAATGTTAATTTCGCTACTTAATTTCAGTAGAAAAAAATAACATTTTAGGTAACACCCAATATTAACATTTCTTGTAGAAAAAATAATGTTTTAGGTAGCGATTTACCGGAAATGTTAAACGTTTTAGGTATGTTGTATGACAACCTTAATATACGGCTAAGGAAAGACCATACCGAAAATGTTAATATTTTTTTAACATTTATGGTAAAGCGCTACCTAAAACATTATTTTTTTTACCAGAAATGTTAATTTCGCTACTTAATTTCAATAGAAAAAAAATAACATTTTAGGTAGCGCCCAATATTAACATTTCCAGTAGAAAAAAAATAATGTTTTAGGTAGCATTTTGCCGGAAATGTTAAAAAAATATTAATATTTTCGATTGCGTCTTTCCTTAGTCATATATTAAAGCTGACCTACATTAGACATCCCTATTTTAAGCAATGGGAAGCTTTGAAATTTAATAGGGTAATAATCTAGTGGACACTTTTTAGTTGAACTATATACATAATCGCATTGCATGCTTTTGATTGCATACCAAAATCTTAATTTTTTACAATTTTTTTAAAATTATTCGAATCATATTCCTCGTGATCATGTATTAATTATAGGGAACTAGAAAATTGAACTAATCAGAAGAATAAGAAAAATGTAAGGAAAACAAAAAGAGAAAATAAAAGCTTTTATACCCTCTAGGGTTGATGGAGATTGACCATAACTTGGAACAAAATGATATACACAAACCACAATCAATATATTAAAAGTGTGCATAATCATCCAATTATACAAATTACAACTAGGATTTCTGTACAAAGATTTCAATGCTGTTTCCATCAATCCTCGTATATATGTATATGTATATTTATATGCATATGCATATGTATATGTATAAAATTTACCTATGGCCTCAAAAGATGGAACTTTTTGGCAGCTACATGTTACACTCAAAGAAACAATGAGGCTCGACTCATCTAATTATCTCTTCCCCGATAAACCAAAATCCCAATCTACTGGAAAATTTTTGATATATTCTTTCTGTAGATGGTGTATCTATCGAATACAGTGCATGAAAACCGAATTACGAGTACCAGTTAAGCCCTGGAAGTTGATACGGAGGACAAAAAACCTCGTCTCCCTTTGAGCTTGAACATCCCAACTGATGAGAAATGGAACTATTGTTAATCCCATCACCACCCCCTAGCATTCCATCTAACATGCTATGTTCTCGAGCTTCAAGCAATGTGCACTTGTTCCCTTTGTCGAGAACTGGAATTTTGCGTCATGATGGCTGCCGATCGATATCGAAGGCGGTACGGTGCCGAGCATGTTGTCCAAAGAGTCATCTTTATCGTGTTCAAGAGGTCTATTCGTGTTGCTCTTCTTATAGATTCTACATAGCACCCAATCATCAAGCTACAAAGAGAATAAAGAAGTTCACAAACAATCAAGTTCTGACACCATATAGCAGTAAAATGAATAAAATATGACAAAAAGTGGTTTACCCTAAGTGAATTTTTCTTGTTGCCCAAGTCACATCCAGGGGGCTTGTTGTTGATCTTGTTATCAGCAAGCCTATACTCATGCATGATCCAATTGGTTTTGATCCCTTTAGGTGGCTTCCCTCCATAGAAAACCAGTGCCTTCTTCACACCAACCTTTTGAGTACCACCCGAAGTCAACACCGGCTTATCGGTTCCCGTCACCTTCCAGTAACCCGACGTAGCCGCCCTGTTCGGCCTCGCTCCGTTGGGATACTTCCGATCTCTCGTACTAAAAAAGTACCATTCTTGCTCACCAAACGTTGCCTTTGCTGAAAACCCAATATCAAAATTTTCAAAACATATATTTTTTTCACTTTTCCATTAAATAATTTTTAAAAAAGCTTAAAAATATTTTTTTAAATATTTCAATTTACCTGGTAATTCCCATGGATCAAACTTGTACAAATCAACTTCAGCAATAATAGAAACTGGCAAAGGAGCTGAGCTAGCCTTTTTCTTGAGATAGTGTACCACTAGTTCCTCGTCCGTCGGGTGGAACCGGAACCCCGGTGGGAGGTTCGGTTGCAGTGAGCTGGTCAATGAGTCCGTGCTCTCCATTGTTACTCCTTCGAATATATATGTATATATATAATTCAGTATCGAAATTGAGAGTTTTGAACTTGGGATTCAGAAAGTTTACCAGAGAAGAACATGGTGGGATCTTTTTTTCTAATGGCTGCTGCTGAGGGAAAAAAAATATAATGTTACATAGAGTTGGCATGGCTGTTTTCTTTATAAATGGGCATTAGAATAAGATTATGAAAGGTGGGCCATGATTCAATACACCAAAGTCGGCACCTGTTACTGTTTAATCCAACTAATCCCGACAAGCCACGTGCCCGGTCCAAATGTTAGTTTAGTCATTTCACTAACCTTTTTTTTTAGGAAAACCGGTTTAATTTAGCTGAAGAATTTCTGTGCACATGCAAAGCAACAAAGCAAGGGATGAAGTTCCTATGTATGTGAGAGAGCAGAGGTTGATGATGATGATGACGACGAGGAAGAGGGGTTTCCTCATCGATCGAAACGTGTAATTTCCAAATGTGGGAATGGCCGACGCGTGGGAAATGAGTGGGTGGGACCACATTCCACACAAGGCAACAAAAATATAATATGGCCACGGATTTTAAGATGTCATGCTTTTGTTGTGCAAATCCCCCCACCCAAACTCCCCCATTTCCGGTGGCCGTACGTAGTAGCTACCATTGGTATCCCTAAAAATCCTTAATAGTCCTAAACACGATATTATGATCATTATTTTATATATTTTTCGTAAAAACAATTAGGGAAAGAGTATTTCTGCTCGTCTAGGGTTAGGGCATACCTTTACATAGGAATTTACAGAGTATTCATCAAGAATAATGGTAGTAGAATTCGAACTTAAAACTTAAAGCATTTAATACCTAAACTATTAATTTTGGTCTATTTTAGTAACTAAACTTTCATTTTTTAAAAGTTAATGTTAAATTTTGAATGGAGTACTAAAATGAAACAAAAACTAAAGTTTTAAACGGATGGATACTAAAATGAAACAAAAATTAAATTAGATGTGTGGTTTTGAAAAAATCGAAAGTTTAAGTATTAAAATGGAACAAAGCTGATAGTTTAGGTACTAAATATGTAGTTTACCCTATAAATTAACAATATTGAGTGCATCCATTTCATAAATATTCGCTTATGAAAGGTGGTGTGATATTTTCATGCGTCTTTCCTATGAGAGAAAAAGGGAAGAGGGACAAACCAAAGCATGGTGGAGGCACAATCCCTAAAGCAATGGTGGTGAAATCATGGGAGTTGTTTGGATCAAATTGCCTTTTGACCAAATCTACACAATAAAAGCTAGTGAATAAGTAGGGAATTTGTTCACTATGTATGTGAATTGACATTTTGAATGGCCAAAATATGCTGGTTTCATGATGCACAAAAGGGACCCATCAAGTGTCATGACTTGTTGCAGTCCATTTCCTTAATTATCATAAAAGTCCCACATTATTCACCACAATGTCAATCTATAGACACGAACCAACTTACCGCAGTAGTTAAAGAAATCGTTATTGTTTTTAAAGGTTACGGGTTCAAGCATCAGCGACAACAATATGACACTTTGGTCAAATTTGGTCAAACAGCTATCTTTGAAACTTTCCCATGCCATCTATTGCTCACCGAATCCTTTTTCTATTTTTCAATTTGGTCAAATTACAATTTTGGTCTATCAATTTTAATCCTACTTTTATAATGTTATTATAAGATTCTCATTTGTTAATATGACATGTAAGTTTTTTATGTTACCATGAAATATTTGTAGACTGTCAAATGGAACTGTCGCTAAGAAAATCGAAGCCTTTTCTTTTATTATATTTTTCTTAAAGAACATGGGGGGTGAATATTAATCGTGCTATATGATCTCCCCATGTGAGTTGCATAAGCCTAAAGTTAATGGCAAAAGACGATATGTACCAAATTATGTTACCGGTCATCTTCTTCCTGTCCCAAATAGTAAACATAACTATCCCTTTATTTCTTTTTGATATGGAGAAAAGGAGAAAGTCTCCGTTCATCGCCCCGTTTCTCAGTTTTCGTTTTCCGTCGACGCAAATCGAACGATCCATAATCTGATCTACATAACTATATGATCTAAGCAAAGCTTATTCAGTCAAAGTGATTAAGCAAGAAAGCCATTGAGATTGCACAATTCCGTACTTCTTAAGCTAAATTCCGTGTCTCTAAAACTCCATGCATGAATCTGGATTAGTGAACTTCCAACTTATATTTTTTAAAGATTTCTTCTGATTCAAAATATAAAACGAAAGTTATCTATTTTACTAATAAAATAATTAATTAGCGCATTACTTATGTGTAAATTTAATTTACGCGTTCGATTCGATCTGTATCGCCATATAAAATTTATCTTTTTTTAAATTAAGATGGCAATAAATGACAGTTCCCTTTACTTTAAAACCCTAATGATATTTTTGACAAATATGCTCTCCTTTTAGGTATTTTAACAGATTATATCTTTCCCTAATTAGCATAACTTTTATTTATTTATTTATTTATATCATTTTTCCATTGTGGAGATTTGGTGCCAATAAAGTTTCATATCGACACCGTCACCGAGAGCATTACGCCACAAGAAAGGCCTAATTTCATCCCCCAAACAGATTTCGGCAATGTCACAATTGCATGACCCTATCACATGTGATGGACTCTACAAACTGTTTATTAGTTGGCATACATGTTAATGTTTCCAGTCATTAAGCTACCTAAAATTGAATCGATTATACACATAGCCAGGGCCGTGGCAGGGTTTTCGGGGGCCTGTACAAATTCGTATAAAGAGGCCCCTATTTTCTAGATATATTCGATTTTGGGGTAACAATAGTGGCGTTTTCTTGACAAACGCCGCAATAGATCCATCTATAAAGGCGTTCTATAAAAAATCAGCAATAATAGTGTCGTTTTATTGAGAAAACGTCGCAATAGGTCTATCTATAGTGGCGTTTATTGATAAAACGCCACTATATATATATATATATTTTTTTTTGGGGCCCCATTTTTGGAAGGCCCTGCGCGGTCGCGCAGTTTGCGCCCCCCAGCCATGGCCCTGCACATAGCGATTTTGATAAGATCATCGATAAAAAAGATCTGGACCATAACGAAAAGAAAAGAGAAACTTATTCTCTCTATCGTTCTTTTCTTTTTTTTCTTTTTCCTTTCCTTTTTTTCCTTCGTAAGACGGTAGAATTTTACCGACATAGAATGTTGATATAGTTCGATCCAGTTTGTTTGCGATATGAAAGGGAAAAGGTGTTTAATTAATTACTTTGGAGAAATCTTTTAAACAATGGGAGGCAAAGGTCGATCTTTATGAATTCCATTTAGAGAAGGGAATCGTATGTGTTCCCTTCCTTTTCCATGTAGAAATAGAATTTGCCATTTAAGTTTGTTATTGAGAAGACGAGTGCACATAAAAAGCTAAGCATTTTTATAGACAAGTCAATTGAAACGATGATATGTGGTGTGATTCTTATTACATTTTCAATTGCGTCCATTAGGGCCATAAAAAAATAAGAACAATTAGGACCATCAAATTGGTTTTGCCTTACCGTCCGTTTTCCATATATTATATATAAAAAATTATGTTAATATTTAATATTTTTTAATAATTAAATAAAAAGTTAACTTAAAATCAAAATTTTCGAGTTAGAATGCAAATTATCGGAGGATAATGTGTTAAAAATGGCATGATGAATAATTGGGCTGGGTTTAAACAACACTAATCTAAGCCCATCAATATACCACCTTTGTATAATGCCATCCAAAATATTAGGGTTTTTTTCTCTCAATACCCTAGGTGGGTAAATTATTTAGCACAATAGGCCAACATATATTTTTATTTGTAGTTTACGGAATTTGCTACACTAAAGGGTAAACTCGACACCTCAACGTGACGAGTTTGCTTAAAAATATTTTTTATTGATCTCGGTATGTGGGCCATATTTTAATATATTCAAGGGACTTGTTACATTGACGTGACGAGTCCATTGATAATTTAATTTCTTTTATTTCATTAAAAAATTTAAAGAAGAAAAAAAAAAAAAACTCATCATTTCGAGATGACGAGTTTGCATTGAATTAAAAAAAAACTAGTCGTTGCACAACGGGCAACTGCAACAATCAAATTGTGACGTTCAGAACGGAACTCATCACCTCGAGGTGACAAATTTAGTGAGATTTATGAGGAAAAAAAACAAGACGTTTATGGCTGTTGGGTTTAGTGTTATAAATAGGGGTTCGGGGTTTAAGTTTTTTATTGTGTTTTGTTAAGAAAAAATTAAGAGAAATTCAAATATTTTACAAAATTTCTAAAAATGTCTACCCGCGAGATGATGTCCATATTTCTTCACTCGAGCTTAGTATGGAAGAAGAATGGGGCATTCGTCAACGAAGAATAACTCTCAGAAATCTGTATCAGTAGATTATTATATATTTGCAACAATCTGGGTTGTATCCAACGACATTTTTGTGTGGTTTTAAGGTGAACCTGGCATTGATTACAAATATGATTGAACGTTAGAGGTCGGAGATGCATACTTTCATTTTTCAAGTGGTGAAGCGACAATTACGTTGGAAGATGTCGCTTACCAAATCGGTGTTATGATTAATGGTGCGACGGTAGTGAGGCATAATAGTTTCGACCGATTCGGAATTGTTCACAAAGTTTTAGGAAAAATGCCACCATCAGAGGTCTTAGAGGGGTACCGGATACGGATCACTTGGTTGGAGTATGAATTTAACATGACAAACGACTTTACCAAAGATATTTTTACAACTCGAGTGTATATGCTCTAATTTATTGGAGGGATATTGTTACCAGATAAATCTAGTAATTTAGCGTACATTCAGTATCTTTCGATATTGAAGAATTTTACTAAGTGTCATAACATTAGTTGTGGCTTGGCCATTTTGACTTTTTATACCGGGAACTTTGCAAGGCTACAATCAACGAACGAGGTTAAAAATCAAATGTAACAGGTTTTCTAGTCCTGCTACAATCGCATGCATGGTATCGATTCACATTTTTTACGCCAATTACAACAGTCCCGGTTGAGTTTACTCACGCTGCAAGGTAATTTTCTAACATTATTTTTTAGTAA